CCGCACCTAGAACTCTCCCCAGCCCACGGGCCCACTGGGTAGGTTGGCAGCACAGCATTGGTGCGAGAGCAAGGCTCGTATCAGCCCCTCCGCACCTAGAACTCTCCCCAGCCCACGGGCCCACTGGGTAGGTTGGCAGCACAGCATTGGTGCGAGAGCAAGGCTCGTATCAGCCCCTCATCACCTCATCACGGGGTGAAGAGGCATTGCCGACGGGGGAAACGGGTGATGCTAGTGCTGATCATCTTTGGCCAGTCACTTGCACCTCCCCCTACCCCCCTCCAACCCCACATTAGCGGTGTCTAATGGCCACCATCATTGCTGCATGGCAACCAACAATGTTTGGCCAAGGTCCTGCCAGCCTACCCCCCTCCAGCCCCTCATTAGCCGTGTCTAATGGCCAATATCATTGCTGCATAGCAACCAACAATGTTTGGCCAAGGTCCTGCCAATGCTGGCTTGGAGAGCCAACGGGTTATCTCTAGCTGGTAGAACAGCAAGCTTGCCCAGGCACGTCCGTGAGGCCAGTTGGGATTGAACCCACGACCTCCTGAATGCTACTTCTGTGCCTTACCAACTGACCTAGGCCGCGCAGGCCTGGCCTTTTGGACTCAGCCCATACCCACACTACCACTCTGCAATTACGGCCAGGCTGGGCCAGCCGCTTCTGACTGAAATGACGTCCGTAGTTCAGTCCAAAAAGTCCTATAGCGTGAGTACGCCCTGAATCTGGTCGATCCCCACTCCCCCCCAAAAAACAAAATATGGGATAATTGGTGGAAGGTGCCCAAGCCAAAACCTTTTTGTTTTTGGGCACCGGACCCTACCTGGAAAAACGAACCCGTCGCGGATACAGGGCCGTGTTCACTATCTGGTAGGAACGGGCCCAGCAGTCTCGGCCGCCAGATTTCTGCATCCGATGGCACCTGTTGCCCGTGGGCGCTTTTAACCAACTGTGCAAGGTTTAGGGTGAGTACTCCCTGACGGAGGTGGGTGGTATCCTTCCATCTCCTCCGCAGAAAAAGGATTCGGCTTCTTACAGATTCTAGTCAATCCCCTGGACTCCAGGGTAATCAATGCTCACAGGAATCTCCCACATTTGTTCTGATTGTTTTCTGATATGGCTCAAACTCATTTTGTAAAAGGGACGCTGGACCCGTTTTCCAGCAGGTGATGCTCCCCACCAATAGATGGA